TATATATATATATATATGTAGCGACTATATCACCCGTTTTCTCTCTCTTTCTCTCTCTTTACGAGTGTGCTACCGAATCGAGACCAAAATCGTGCAAGATGTCCGGAGCGCGAGAGATCGATCGCATTGGATTCAAACCGTGAAACAATTGTCTGCGTTACGATAGCGGATGTCGCATGTATTTCCGCTGAAAAGATGCTTTTGTAACAACGATAGAGATTGAGGTAACGCCTTCACTGGCGGATCTACGAGGGGGGTCATGGGAGCCACAATCCCTCCTTGAAATCTCTTTTTTTCAAAAAAATATTTATAGCAAAATGTTACGTAATATTTAATATTTTTGAAATGCTTAATTACAATTTTGATATTTCAAAAATATTTTTTAATTTAAGAAACTTCTAAATATAAAAACATATAGATTTTATTATATATTTTTGCTATATTAATATAATTTTAAATAAATCATTTTATGAATTATATATTTAAATAATATTTTTTCAATGTAATCATTTAAATAATAACTTTATATTCTGTTTTTATATATTTTATATAATATTTGACCTTAAAACAAAATATTATTTACGGCGTACTAATAATCTTTTTCTGACAAAGAATAATGTTAAAAAAGGCCATTTTTTACCTATTAATTATTAAGCTTAAAAAATACAGTGAATCTTATAGATTTCAACCAGCTGCATACAGTGATGCTATTTAGTTTTCATTGAAAATTCGGAGAACAGTCTTATTTTTTAAGTTAGAACCTTATTTTAACTGAAAAATAGGACTTTAATCTGAAAAATAATATTTCTCACATTTTCAAGAAAATCAATAACATTATCATATTCAACAAATCAAAATATATTAGATTTGCTGTGTTTTTTACGTTTCTATTAGTGAGCGAAAAAAACGATCTTTTTTAAATATTATTCTTTTCCGTCAATGAGAATGCCTTTCGCGTTTTCATCCTCATAGCTGGACCATTTGAACATTTCGAACGCGCGCAGTGGTTCTTAACGGTTTAACTTTCGCGATTCTATCACGACCATAGCTAAATTTGTTGGTTTAATTAAATCTCCATTAAATTTTTATCACGAAACAGACTCTGACATTTTCTTTAGCGAAATATATGTGAATATATATGTATATTCGCACGTGCTGACACGTGCTCAATAGCGAAATAATTTCTGTTCATGAAAATTTTATTAAATTTTCTCGCTTTCAAATTTGAATATCAAATGTTATGAGCAACTGTTTCTTCTTCCGATTGAAATTATATAAAATTTGCTTGAAATTAATTGGACAACAAAATCTTATTATTTACGTATTATTTAACGGCGTAATCTATCAAAATTTCTTTTATAACTGAATATTTGCAAAATTTATTTATCGATATTTTTTATTAAGGGAAACTATATTTTATCCTTTGAATAGAATATTCAGTTTTATAGGGAAAATTGTTTTACCTTTTGAAATTGAATATTCAGCTTCTTATTTACGTATTGTTTAACGGTGTAATAAAAATTTTTTCTATAATTGAATACTTGAAAAATTTATTTATCGATATTTTTATTAAGGGAAATTATATTTTATGTTTTAACTAAAATATTCAGCTTTTTATCCTTTTTTATAGATGGTTCAAGTTAAAGACACAAAGTTTTACAAATGATATTTTTATTTGACATCTTATAATTGGATCCAAACTTCATTCCAAATCAATCAACTTGATGTTGCGAATTTGAAGATTTTCACGTTAGTTTGCCTTAATACTATCGGAATGCTTAAGATCATGCGTGGACTAATGCCCCGTGAGCTTGTTGTATACATTTCGTGTTTGTTACACAGAGTGTCGAGGAAAGGTTTAAGTGTTTAAAAACTCAACGGCATGTTCCTTGATCAACATAAAGTCGACTATCTTTTTAAGTAAAATATTTATATGTCGATAATTATGTGCATTAAGAAACAATAAATTTTTTAGAGGATTCGGACATAAATATAATTTTGGTCACAACTTCGAGCGAATTTTGGGATAGCAAAATTTTTATTTAAAATTTAGATAATAAAATTTATGTAATAAAATTTCGGCTAAGAAAAACTCGACTTCTAATTGCTCAAGGAATGCATTCACCGGTCATTTAATTCCTTCTCTAACAGTTTGTATACAACTTGTGAAAGGGTTATGAAAATAATCAAAACAACTTGGCCTCGAGTCAATGTTAATTGTATTTCTGTTAATAATTGTTGCAAGATTGTTCGCGTTACCCGCTTTGCAAAGAGAAGCATATGCAGGAGCGATGATGACAACACGAATATACAGGTAGCTGGGAGCCTTTGTTATGTGCATTGCACTCAGAGCGCAATATGTATAATAATTACATATAATTTATCTAGCGATAGGATAATACTATCTGTAAAAAAAGTATTTTCTTGGGGACGCGCTTGCATTACATTACGTTTACAATTTATGTAGTGCGTATCATCGCGTTCGCATATGACGCATGCGTGCGTGTGTGTGTGAGTGCGTGCGTGCGTGCGTGCGTGCGTGTGCGTGTGCGTGTGCGTGCGTGCGTATGTGTGTGTGTGTGTGTGTGTGTGTGTGTGTGTGTGTGTGTGTGTATGTGTGTGTGTGCATGCATGTACATATGCATATGCGACTTTACGTTTATAATTCGTATAAGCTTGGGTATACCATGTCATTTCTGTCACTGTTGCAATGCATTGCACGTCAGAATAGTTACAATATAATAAAAATAATTATTTAACTTTAACAATATATTCATTTGATATAGTCATCTTGTTAATAAATAGAGCAACATATACATAACATTAACAATTGCTAAATATATGTATACACGTACGGGATAATAATGCGAAATGAAGAAAAGAAAAGAAAGGGTCGAGAGTAGAGAGGGGAGGGGGCGGGAAATGGCAAGAGAACGTTAGATTTTACATACATACAGCAATTATGTATAATAAGTTATATACATATGTACATGAAATATTTCTTTCAACAACGATAATCACGTTTAATTACAATTATTTCGTGGAATTTTTTTACAATAATGTGAGAAAGGAGGAAGGAAAGGGTGGAGGAAATGAAAGAATGATTGAGAATTGGAAGTATTTGACGGAGACAGCCGAGATTTAGCGTGTTCGGAGCACGAAGAAAATATGCGAGAACGTAGATATAAGAGCAACGAGATAGTTAAAAAAAGGGGAGAGGGGGGGGGGGACAGAGGAAAGAAAAGCGATCGCTGCTACAAAATCAAAATTCAATATCCCGTGAAAATTATACGGGAAAATTCATAAAAATATATTGCACAATTTCACCGGCAGGGAAACGTAGCTTCGGGAAAAATTTAACAATCGTCGAAACTAAGTTTCTCAACAACATTTTATCGCAACACGAGGAGAGGAATTTTTTTTCTCTTCCTTTTTATCATCTATATCTCTTCTAACGCAATTCCATAAAATCTTTTTAAAAAATAAATACTTTTCGTTTTGACCATTTTCTGTTTATGAGAGAGAGAGATTCAGTGTGTGAATCAATAGTTATATATACAAATATATACTCAATAAAAAAATATTTCTATTTCCGTTGCCGCGAATCTTGTCAACAGCCCTGCTTTCCTTGAGAGATAGACTTACTTACAAATATACAGCTCCATCCATGGAAACATGAATTTCTTGGGAATTGCATTCGAACCACATGAGTCTTTTAAATTGCGCTTTCAACGGGGAGATGAAGTAGGGTAGGGAGGGATGAGATATATGCTCTTAAATATTGAGTCCCGCTTTTCTCATATTGACCATGGAATGAGTCGATATATAATACTTCATCATTTTACGTAGCATTACATTCTCTCACAGTCGTTTGCATGCAATGAGACGCATTGCTCCTCCTCATCCCACCCTTATCCCTCCTCTCGTCGCTCCCTCCTTTTCAATCTCTCTCCCTGTCTCTCTTTCTATCTATCTTCCGCTTCACTCTACAGTTCCCGGAAGCTGCGGATGGTATCGATTTCATGTTATACAATTGCACGAAAATGCTCTCGCCACGCTCTATGGCATCTAGATAGATGCCACTGAATATCTTACGAGGAGTGAGGGAGGGGAAGAGCGAGCGAGAGAGAGAGAGAGAGAGAGAGAGAGAGAGAGAGAAAGTTCACATTTTGTACGTATCTGGATACAAGCTAAGACACGAAGACATGTAAAGCATGAATAATAATGTCTCTCATTTTTCTATTTTAAGAACAGGATTTTTTTTTTATAATCGGACGATTAACTTCCATTTCATTGTAATAGCTTCCATTCAACTGTGAGTTCGTTTTCAATGATCGCACAGATTGTAGTATATTTTAAGTACTTCGATTTTTCGCTGTGACGCAAGAGACATTATTTTTGTACAATGAGAAAACCGTATTTTTATGAGTTTAATCTTAAAATACTTGAAGTTAATCGTTCTCTCACGAATGATAAAAATTGCATATACGACATCTAATTCTTTCTTTTTTAATTCACATGATAATTTTCGAAATGAGCAAATTGTTTATTATTATTCTTATGATTTATAGATAGCGGAAATTTCAAAAAATTCTTATGTTCGTAAGACTCAATTAATTTGTATCCAGCTATGTTTTAAGATAAATTATAAAGGATCGACGATAAATATGGAGGACTGATGATAAATAACGGATCAGTCGGCGACGGATCAGTTTTGACCGCCTAAAGATTTCCGCAATTTCTTCATCGGTCATCATGAGAGATGCAAAAAAGAAAAGATAATCGATGATCGAGAAAGAGAAAAGAGAGAAGAAAGAAAGAGAGAGAGAGAGAGAGAGAGAGAGAGAGAGAGAGAGAAGAAAGAGGAAAATAAGAATCGGGGACATAGATCACAACTTGTCAGAACGTGACAAACGTAATGAGATCTCAGACGTTAAAGATGATTTTTTTTCAACATCGTTGTCATGGAATTCATTGATTGCAAGGTGACGACGCGTGGCTCTGGTGGTGGGTTCTTGGATTAGCGTGAGACGCCTCGCGTTTCAGTCTCTGCTTCAGATGTACCTTCGCGTGACGCTTCTTCTCATCGCTCCTGGCAAACTTTCGGCCACACTGATCACAGCAAAACGGTTTTTCACCCGTGTGCGTGCGCACGTGGGTAGTTAGGTGATCGCTCCTCGAAAACGAACGCATGCAGATGCGACACTGAAACGGCTTCTGCCCGGTGTGGATACGTATGTGTCGAGTAAGCTCGTCACTGCGGGAGAACCTGCGATCGCAGCCATCCACCGGACAGGCGTAGGGTCGCTCGTGGACCGGCGTTTTGCTCGGTCGATTCGGATACTTTCGCGGTTTCACGGGAACCAATCGGAGTGGTATCGCGCTTTGCTGATAGACCTGAGAAAGGATCTCGTGGCCCTTCGACGTGCTCGGATTGTATTCGGCCAGCTGGACTCCTGCGTTACCGCAAGTGCCAGATGGAGCTTGTTGTTGTTGTTGTTGTTGTTGTTGTTGTTGTTGTTGTTGAGCTTGTGTTTGAGTTTGTTGCGGCTGTTGTACATTTGGAGTGTAACCGGTACCGGTTGGCTCCTGCTTCAACGTTGTCTCCTGGTGATGGGTGTGAGAATGATGGTGGGAGAGAAGACCGGGATCGTAAGCATCCTCGTGACCCGTCAGCCAGGTCGTGGAGGTGGTGGTCGCCGTGTCGTGATAACCAGGCGGTGGGGGTGGCTTCGAATCGACCTGCAGCAATTCGACGGTTTCGCCGCTGTACGCGGTCGAGTGTAGGTTGGGGTGAAGGAACGGCTGGCCCGCCAAGGTTAAGGTTGGTGACGGTAATGGCGCCCACAGCTCTTGACCCGGCTGTTGCGGTTGCTGCTGCTGGTCGCCCTGGAGATTGCTCAGAGGTGAGGATTGCGTACAGGTCGTGGTGAAGACGCCGCGATAGGTCAACGTCGGTACATTGCAGATATTCACGCTCGTCGCGGGCGCGGTAGACGTGGAATGCGGTGAGTATAAAATTACACCACTCTGCAGCGCGTTACAGCGATCCGCCTCGTCCTGGGTTTGGTGGTGGCGCGACGGCGGACTGCTCGAGGAAGGTGCGTTCGACGTGACGGCATTTCGCGCGTCCTGATGGTGATGATGCCGATGATCCCTACCGGCGGACGGGCCGTTCTCGTCTTCCTCCGCGGTCGCCTCTTCTAGAGAGAGATCCTCGCTCGCCAGGCTGCCTGTGTGAAACATCGATAAAATCATCGTTTAGTTTCGATTTCAAATGTACCACGTGCATGTCATCATATGTATGTTTCATGTCCTATATACGCAATGGGTGTGTATTTGTATCGGGAACCGACAGGAAGAAACACGCGATACGGGGGTGACTTTATCTCTCAAAGGCTCTATCTTTTGTCTGCATCCTGCCGCGCGTTGTTACTTCCTTTCATACGCATATAATTGTTTGACTGACGTTGAGGAAGTACTCATCAAAATCACAAATGAAATGCAATACTGTGCAATTTTTGTTTATGTAAAAAGATTTTACCGAATTCGATAATGTTTTCTCGATATAACTTGTCGGATATATCGCTGAGGAATAAAACACGAAGGAATCGTAATTGTGTTTGCGCTTTTATTAAATATATAGTGCTTGCATGTCGGAAGATAAAAAGGTATATAGCAAACGCTTTTGTAAAGCTGTACGATAATCGGGAGGGTTATTACGGTACTGAGGGTGGCGGAGGTGGGGACGGCTGGAAGCATGAATGAACCGAACCGAAGGGATAGTGGGAGGAGACGGGCGAGGAAGAGGAGGTGGTGATGCAGAGGAGGGTCTCTGAATGTCGGGGTCGTTGGGTATTGATCCGCGACAGGCGGACAGACCTTCGATATTACGTGTTTTCGCGGGCGAGTGTAATAAACGTCAGTAACACGCCTCGTGGCTCTTCGCCGCAGACGTTATACCGGCTGATGCTTGCACCGCCGCGAGTGCGGTACTCGAATACTTTTGACGATATCTAAATTTTCCCGCGAATGATGCAGATGTTAACGACCAGGCATCGAGGAACGCGAGGAGCTCGCGAACATATAGAAAGCGAAAGGTCGACGAAAGCGAAACAGTACGTATTCAATGAGCGCCGTGTTTTCGCCCATGTAATCCTGTTAATGTTCGCCGAATCACGAAGGATACAGATTGTATCCAATCGGTCCCGTGGGCCTCAACTATACAACAACGATCGCATATAGTATATTATATTATCCCTCTTTGTTGCGTTACGCCAACGAAACGCATCCGGAGTAAATAAAGTCCTAATGATGAAGAAGTAGGTATTCGAGTAAAGCTGTGTTAAGAGAAACGGGAGGATTCTCTCTTTCTCTCTTTCTCTCTCTCTCTCTCTCTCTCTCTCTCTCTCTCTCTCTCTTTCTCGATCTCTCGATTCTCATCTTAAGGATTAGCTGATTGTAGGTACCTGAGATTGGTGGCGGTTCGACAAGCGCGGAGGGCCCGAAGAAAGACGGTAGGTCGCTGCTGGTGGTAACCGGCGTGTTCAAGTCGCCGGGCTTATCCTTATCATTCGTATCGTGAATATCGCCCCTGCAATTCCTGATGCAACTCTTGTCATCGTCGTCGGGTTGCCGGTGTCGCTTTCCGTCCGCGATATCGGTGGACGGAGACGAGGCATTGGGGTGCAGCTGATGCTGATGATGATCGTCCAATCGATGATGATGCTGATGATGCCGTTCGTGGTTGTGTTCCGTGGGGGTTGTTGAGCTGATTTGAAGTTGCATATGTAACGGCACGTTTGTGGACAGGGAGAGCTGCGGTGTGTTTGTCTTGCCGCAGCTGGTAGAGGACGAATTCGTACAGGTCGCGTTCACGGATGTCCCGCTAACGCCGCAAGTGACCGAGCTGGACGAGGAGGCCGCATTGTACGGTAAACACGCGTCGAAGCTAAGCTGCACCGGCAGATTGAACGTCGCGTGATGATGATGATGATGATGACCCAGTGGTGGTGAGGAGAGCAGAAACGGGCTGGTGGCCGCGTGCGGCTGCGAGCCCACCACCTCTACGCCGTCCATAGTCATCCTCTGGAGCTGGTCGCCTCCCTGGGCGATGGCAGAATCCTCGGTGCCGCACTGCGTGTCCTCGCCTGTGGTTGTATCGTTCAACGTAATTATTATGGTTAAAATTACTGCCGCAATCCTCGATCACTCCAAGTATTATTATTCCGAGAGCAATTAAGTATCTCTTTCTCTCTCTCTTTCTCTCTTTTTCCCAATGTAAATAGCGCGCGTGTTAAAGATGTGTGAATAATGCGTTAATATTCTCCCGATCTATCAAAAAGATCGATCCGTCACTCTACTTCTTTCAGCTAGTAGGATTAGTAGTGATTAAGTATGTGTGACGTTTCCCTCTTTCTTGCTCGATCGCGTGGCGCGCGCCCTTGGTTAACTCAATCGAACCGTCCGCGCGCCGGTTTGACGCGAGAAAAAGAGCTGTCTTCCTTCTCACCTTGGCTTTCTTTTTTTTTCTACCTTGATGGATGCCACCGGCCGTGGCCGGTAACACCGCGTCGCAGAATGGACCACCACCGACCACTAGTAATCACCATCACCGACACCAATTTTTACCACCACCGTGTACGCCAAGGAAGCTTACGCGCGTGTAGGACCGTTGCGGCTGTCTTGAATACGCATCGATTTTTCGTCGATAGATCAATTCGATCTGGTACCACCGTTTTCACCTCGCGAACGATGAAGAGGACAGACAGACTATTATGAACGGTATATATCGTGGGGACGGTGTACGCGTGTATACGTCTGGGACGCGCACCGCTCTCGCGGAATATTACACTCCTCTTCTCACCTTCCGAACGTTACGAACGCGACGTGTCCGAGAGAGCCGATGTGAATACGCGGAAAGCGAGGCAAAAGTATTCGTGCGGCGAGAGAAGACGTGTGTCCGGCAACCGCCACCCGCCGTCGCCGTCGCTGCCGCCGCTGCCG